AGAGAGAGAGAGAGAGAGAGAGAGAGAGAGAGAGAGAGAGAGAGAGAGGGAGAGAGAGAGATGAGGATAGTGGCAGGAGATAGAGAGGTACTCTCTCTCATCGTCTGTTGCCACAGACAGAGATAGAGACATATGTCGGTATGTAGGTGGGCAGTAGGGAGACAGAGAGAGAGAGAGAAAGGGAGAGAGAGAGGCGGCAGAGGAGAAGGAGATGAGGATAGTGGCAGGAGAGCTGCGTTATGCAGAATCTTGGTAGAATGCATGTATCAACATTTAAATGAAACATAATAAAGGATAATAATAATAATAATACTATAATAGTTACAATACAACAATATTATGCATGTATTCAGAACTTGCTCCACGAGATGACTCACCACTTACATGTGTTGTATGCTTGTGTGTTCGGTGTTTGACACCATTTTGCATTGAACAACTGCCGCGTGTTCTGCATGTAGAAACAGCAAGCCAGATCAAGGAAAGGTTGGACAGGGAGTAAGGCTGTGTGACAAGAAAGTGCCAAATCATAAGGCTGTGTGACATAGGGCCTCACTCCAGTACATAATACTCTACAATCATTTCGATGCTCTCTCGGCCCGACGCATTCAAAATGTTGACTCCTCCCAATGCACCTGGTCCAGACAGCATCCAAATGCATGTAGAATGTTGTGCAGTCGGGCGAGACCAATACATGTAGACTGTTGTCCAGAGATAAGTTTGCTTTCATTTTCACGGGAAAACCGCCCTGCCAGCTCAGCAGGGCAGACATATAATGCTGCAGCGTACCCTCATAGTCAAAAACAAAACGGTGTCGGTTTTATGCTTTTGATTTTGCTGTTTTCTTTTTGTAATATTTATTTTCATTCCCCTTTTCTTGTCCTCCTCTTTCATTGACAGCGGCAGCCATGAGCTCATCAAACTTTGGGGACCTAGGCCCTTGCTCCACCGCAGAGCATTCTTAGTGTATCTTGGCCCAGTGACGGTCCCAAATACATTCAGAATGTTGGATCAGTCGGAGTGCATCTGGTCTATTTCGCCGTCAGATACGTTTAGAATGCTGAGCAGTGGAGCGAGGCCCTTAGCCAATACAATCTCGACTTTGGATTTCTGGATGGGATGACCTCTTTCTCTTTTGTAAGCCCCCAACTGAACGAAGAAACAACTGAAATCAAAAAAAAAAAAAAAAAAAACCGCCCTGACAGCTTAGCAGGGTGCATTGGTGAGTACTGTGGCTCAGCAGGACGGATTTGTGAGTCAGGGGCCCCGCTCGAACAAAAATCAGGGTGCTGTATCTTTCCATTTCACACAGCCGATTCATTCGCATTTTTCAAATCTGGTAAGTGGTGGAGCAGCGGCCTTGAGATTTCGGGCCTCACTCGAATGAATCGGCCAGCATGAACATGGAAAGTAAAAGCGGCCTGATTTTAATTGGAGCGAAGCAGGGGACAATGATGAGAAAACGGGCGGACAGGGCACAGATTAAACAATTCGGACAGGTAGGCCACAATGATGAGGCCTGCCTGCCAGTCGTTTCCGGCACACACATTGGCACATTGCTGGTGGTAGCAGTACCATCTTAGATTAGCCAATTTGCTGTTACTGTAGTTTTCAGGCACAGCAAATGCATTTTTTGGTTCATCCGTTAAACGTCAGATGGACTGGCAAGCAAAACATCACAACTGTCCACATTTCACCAAGCAACGGGTTCATCAACGCAACATCACAACCATATATATTCGACCAAGCTGATCAACACAATTATAGATTTAAAAAATAAAGGTAGAAGGCCTCAATCAGTCACAGATTCTTCCACCATATCCGTCCTCCTCCCCTGAGGTGCACAGGCATGACCGTAACTGCACCATCAATTGTGTTGCAAGAGAGTGACATAAAGAAGGCGAAAAAAAAAAAAAAAGAAAGAAGACCTCAATGAGTTACAGATTCTTCCACCATATCTGTCCTCCTCCCCTGATATGTGCAGGCATGACCATAACTGCATCATCAATTGTGTTGCGAGAGAGTGACATAAAGGCGGCAGACAACAAGAACAGCAAGAAAAGAAGGGCCCACATGAGTAAGCCGAAGACGGCATTACATTACAGTAAGAGTAAACATTGCTCTTCCACAATTCCAAAGCCATGAACTTACATCTCTGAGAATCGTCGTGGCTAACCGATCCCGATGGAAAGGCCAGCCAAAGGATGCGCAACGTGAACTCTGCCATTTCCTTCATTGAAATGGCCATTACAAGGACGGACACCACCTCCACCCTTAGGGCTTTGTGGAGAGTCTCCCATCTTTTCCATCCTCAAAACAACTTCAACATGAAAATGTCACACCATTCCCACAGCGGTGAAAACTCAAAAACTCGAGAGCACGGCATTAAGCTGCAAATTCAAGGTCACGCTCAAAGCAGAACAACCCCATTCTAGGTCACATTGCTTCAAGCTGTAATGGCGTCGGTTCAGAGGACGTATTGCTTGAGGCTGACCTTTAGAAGCCGTCCTTAGTCTCTTTAAACCACCAGCACATGGCCCCAGCCAAGTTGAGAATCCATTTGAGCCTCTCCAAAAATTTCGGAGCTCAAAGCGTCGTTGATAAAGCACATCGGCGACAGGAAGCCCTCTGAAATGGGCCGCCGGTCCATGCATCATCGGAAGTTTGCGTGGACGGCAAAAAAGGCATAAACACTGTTTTTGTACAGGCACTGACCTTAGCACTCTGGGGAAGGTTAGCCAGGTCTGGAACATCTCCGGCAACTCCATCATGCAAAATGTCATCTGAAAGCATAAGACCACATGAGAGCATGCACCAGAAGATTCAAAACCAAAGCATACCACACACACAAAAAAAGAAAAAAAGAAAAAAAACTGGTGTCACTCAACGGTGATGCTGTTGACATGCACACACAGTAAAAAGAGGAGTTCGGATGCTAAAAAGGAAAGGGAGCTGCTATCATCCCCAGATGCTTATAAAGACAAGTATGATTTCAGAGCACCAGAGATTGCACTGCACTCACTCCCACAAGAACGCATTGACACTAAGCGAAAAGTATATGATAAACCACTTAGATCATTTTAGATGTGCCCAATCACAAACATTGTCTTGCTGGACTGGCTGTAACAACCTGGACGACGCAGAAAAGCACAAGGGCCCAAGGGCACTCACCGCCAACAGGAGGAAACTGAATTTGCCGTTGTGCAGAGCTCATCTGATCCCTGCACACACAATCAACATTTGATAGTGCAAAGAAGAATACAAAAGCGAGGTAAGAAGAAGACGCACATCCCCAAGGCAAACGTCGCTCAGCTTTTACCAATCAAGCACACAGAAATTCGGAAAATTATTAAAGAAACACCCAGTACCAAGGGTAGCAAAGCCAGCATCGAAGGAAGCACCGGCAGAAGGTCGGGAGAACAACAGAATGGAAGAAGGGAACAACATACTGGTTAGGCCACACACTGATGAGCACAAAGGAGAGCAAATGCCTGTCTGTATTTGTATATGCACTGTAGATTGTCACCCGAACAACCGCTTTTCCACCCCGACGTTCAGATGCAAAATTGAAATGGCCTTACCTTCCCTACACTATTAAAATCGCTAACGTGACAAATCTGAAATCCAGGCCGCCATCGGTCCTACCGACCCGCAGTCCAGATCAACCGAACCATGTAACAAATCTACCATCTGGGCCGTCGGGTCCTACCAAACCGACGGCCTGGATAGATGCAGTCTTACGATCTTAGGACCGCGCCGAGATCCAGGCCGTCGGTCCGGACCGACGGCTCAGATAGACGCGCCGAGTGCCGTGGGGTACTATCGGAGTTCGCGACGTCGGGCCAACCCAACTTTCCCGTTGGACTGGCCGTTGTCGTGCAGAGCCCTCGGTCCATTGTATTTGGTGTTGTCGCGCTTGTGCTGTTGTCGTGAAGCGCGCCGTGCGCCCGGTTGTGAAGCACCCTGTCGTGACGCTCAAACCACAAACCACGGCCAACCACAGGCGAGCGAGCGAGAGAGATCCACAGCTTACAGCACCAACGGCCAACCACATGAGAGAGAGAGAGAGAGACCCCAAACCCGTCCCCCAAAACGACAACGACGATGACAATCAAGTGTCTGTCACTCTCCGCTCCTCTGCTGCATGATGGCGACGATGACGATCAAGTGTAGTATCTGTTCCGATCAGTTTGAAAAACGGCGCACGCACTTTCGCTCGCACCAGAGGAGCGGAGAGTGACAGACA